TACGGGGGGCCTCCCCTGGGAAATTTTGAAAATAGAGATGCCAAATCCTGCATTCTGGCTGTATTTTGGGTAAAAATTATATGACACTCTATGATTGTACCTAAGACACTTTTCTCTTACAAAAAGTCAACATTTATAATCACTTATGGTATTTCGAGTTTTGACTAACAAAAATAATACTGTTGATAAAACATGTTTGAAAATAGATTTAACAATTATCAGGTACATTGTGTGTAATTGATAATTATTTCTGTTGTTCTGAGTGAGTATTTGGTAAAAATCTTAGTAGTCCTGCAGGGCAAGTTTATAGGCATGTTTATTAGCCCGACCTCAATATTCAGTTGTCCCAGGCCAGCGGGCTACCGTTAGTGTCGAACCCTGGTCTTTTGATCATGTCCTCCTTGAACTGACAATTTTACAAAGCCAAAAATTAATATCGCCATCTCATATCTTGATTTAATTTTCAAATGAAGTAGCATTGGCCTTGACTTTATCTATTTTGTAAATACATGTAATTACAATAAAGATGGGCACAAATTTTAGAAAGATTAGCATACTATTATAATATGAAATTTTTGTTAACTAGATGTAACACAGATTTAATTCATATATGTCACAATGACAATAAATCTTACAATTTGACCCTATATTTTTTAATATCTTCAAAACAAAACATCATTGCGAAAAATGCCCCGACTCACTAGGAATTTCAGATAATTAAAAAAATTGATCTCAAATCTCTTAATTAATAGTATTGGTAACAAAATGTCATAAACCAAGGGGAAGAATTCATCAGTCAATAGATTCAAGATTGAAACTAGATAAGCTCACAGTTCCATTATGACATGATTGCTCAAGAAAAAAATGTAAAAAAAAAAAAAAAAAATGTTAACAAAACATTATTTTCTCTGTCAGATAGCTAGGTCTGATAACTTTAGCTAGCAGTCATTCTTACATGTCTATAGCTATAAGTTTTACGGTGAGATTCAAACACAAAACAACAGAACCAATGCTATTCCAAAATACATATCTTAATTATTACATATATCAGTACTCCACGTGATTTTTTCCTGTAGTCTAGCAAAAAAAATCAAATAAATAAAAATGACAGCGAAAAAAAGACAAATCATTTGAAGGTTTGACATTGCTACATGCATGTAATGATTTTCAGGCATTTTTATGTCTGTACAAGAAGTCAATGATAGGATATTAGTCGGTCAACTTTTCATAGCCGAGTGTTAATGTAGAACTGTGTCAATTTATTCACCGATATATTATAGAAAGACGAATATTTCTGATCAAAGGGAGCCTATTTTCCATCTTCCAACAATCATTGTCTAAATTAAGCCACAGTCTGGAGTCCACAAACAGCTCTCTCCTACCCTATGGAAGAGGATGGTACATTTTGGTCATGGTTTAATTGCAACGATGACCAATAGTATACCTGAGTTGTGATTTTGAATGGCCAGAGTGAGAGGCCAGGTCTTCAGTCCCCATTGATTCAACAGATAAGGAATAATAACACGTGCAGGCAAGGATCCATGATTTTGTGTTAAAGAGCAGAGCTGCCAACAGTCTGAAATGACAAATAGTAAGGCGGGGTCTACGGACCACCAATGCCCCCTGCCGCTGAAGATGTTTTGTAAATGGACATGCAATCTTACAAGGTCCCTGGCATCACATTCATGTCATGTTTCTATTTTGTTTAAGACATGTGTCCATTGAGGAGTAAGAAGTAAATATATAACAATTATAGTAGAAGAGATCTGTTGCAAATTTTGTCCTCGTAAAGTCGAGCTGAGAAGTGATTAAAAATTTTGGTCACAAATTGAATCCAGGTGCCATTGAGTAACCATTACGCTATTGGGAGTACTGCTCTAAATGTACTTGTGTATACTTTTGCTACAGTACACCTGTCTGAATTATAAAAGACGGGCCATTATTCATAATTTCGCGCCAAACGCCACGTTAGATATTCGCGCCTTTTCTTTGGACTGATCTATTAAATAGGTGTGATAGCTTCAATGAAGTTAAGAAAAAAGTATGTTCTCATAGCCTACATTTCGAGGTTTAAAAAATATATTTAACACATTGTACACATTCTATAGAAAAGTAACACTAAAGCACTGAAATGACTGTAATTTAATGTTTTTTTATTTCCCGTCTCAGAAGTGAACTATGCCGATTAGTTACACTTTCATAAAAAGGTTGAAACGTTTCGCCAAAAACATGCGTGTGACAGTCAAGGAATCAGATACCATTTATGTTCAATAACACAACAAATAAATAAATTAGATGGTCTTATTAAAATGTTTTTCTTATTTTTGTTTTTTCTAAATATCACACAAGTGTGCATAAAAACAGTGGTTCTACGTTTTATACTTACTATGTATATGCATCGAATTTCCCTTGAAAAACTATAACTTATAACTATGATTTAAATATGTTTTTCCGTTTTGCAAAACAAATGATAATAGGTATCTCTCATTTGCACATTTTCTTTTCTTTTTCTACTTTGAGAACCAACCAAAACCAGTTACAGAGGACGTTTGAGAAGACACTGGAATAAATCTTTAGTTTGACACAGAATTGTAACGTAATTACTACGTGATCTATTAACGGGTAAACCATTAAGCTATTATGGGAGCACTGCTCTAGATATACTTGTGTATACATTTAATTGCAACAGTACACCTGTCTAAGAATTATAAAAGGCGGGCCACTGTTGATAATTTCGCGCCAAACGCCACGAGTAAATATTCACGCCTTTTCTTTGGACTGATCTATTAAATAGGTGTGATAGCTTCAATGAAATTAAATAAATGAAACGTTCTTATCGCCTTTATGATATGAGATGATACCAAATAAATACTACTACTACTACTTTATTTTATTTCAACGTTAAGAAGGTATATTTAACACACTGTACACATTACATATCGTATCTAGCCCAGTTACACTAAAGCAGTGAAACGGAAATAAAGTTTTAAGATTGACACGTAATTACAACGTACTACTACGTGAAAGTCCAAGAGTTTTTTCTATTTCATGTATCCTTATGTCAGAATGGTTTAATCAAACGTTGAGCTGCCTCCATAAACCACTACAGTGAATATTTCACTTACAGCGGCCATCCCCGCTCAGATTTTCAAATATTAATATCTAGCGTTAAGATTACCAATATTCAAACAACTTATATAGTAAGCATATATAGAAGGGTCTCTATTAATATTTCAAAAATCAATAATAAATAATGGAAAACAAAAAAGTTAGAAAATGCACTTTTTTAAATTCGCATCTCCTAACGACAGGAAATATTAGACTTCTATCTATCACGAGCTATAATCCTGAAAGTTTCACATTGATATCTTTTACCGTTCTTGTTAACTGCAGACAAAATTGCATTTTAAAATCAGAAAATTGTCTCTGGCAGAGAAAAATTGCTAAAAAATCTCTCGAAGAAAATAACTTGAAACAACACATTGTTCCTGTTTCATGAAAATCCATGTGAAAGGACAAAATTAGATGGTCAGATTAATAATAAGAAGAAACAATATTTTAAGGTCTTCCGCCCTCACTATATAGATTGCCACTATGAAAATACCAGAATTATCAACTTTACAAAACATCTCTCTAAGGCGTTTTTAACTTCCTTTCGTAAGGGTTGGCAGCTGAAATTTTGAATCAATTGACTACCAAGGTCCCTGGCAGTTCGAAGACAGTGTCCATTGAGGAGTAAGAAGTAAACTAGTGGAGAGCTGCAAATTTTGTCCAATACTGGGCACTTACTGCCATTGAGTAAAGAGGGGTCTTTTTTGTGTCAGCACCTACTGTGGCACGGGACCTTAACTTTATACGGTCTCATCCAAAGGACTGATCTCCACGTCAAATAGTAGGATTTGAACCCGTGACATAAAAATCAACTCCTTACTTCGTGACTCTAGACCAGACGCTCTAACCATGGCGCCACACGTGTGACATTCAATATCGTGACACAACAAATAATAAATATTATAATCCCCACTAAAAACTCTAATAACACCTAAGTAACATAATTTCCCAATATTTCGGTAAATGCTCAAATCAAATGCTTATAATTGTAATTTTTTGAGATACAATGATGCATAAAATTTTCTAACAATACTGTACATGTATGTAATATGCAATTTAAGGACATATGCAACGTAGTTTGTACTTCTTGATATTTTTCCATGGAGATGAAGAGTTCTAATTCTTGAAGGAACTGTGTTCTATATTTTAATGTCTGTATATGGTGGTGTACACTTCTTTTAAAGCAATTTTTGATGAAAGAAACATCTAGAATATATGTTTGATATTTTTTATATAGTTTTCTTTAAATCATCCAAGAATATTAATCAATTGATATCTTTCAAAAAACCCTGGTAATGCATGCCGATTTTTTGTCAATAAACATCTGATGACACTAAAATGCTAATTTAGGAATATCTTGAAAATCTAGAGTAGGTGTGTTGCGTATGTCCTTAACAGATCAAATTTTCTAGCATTTAGCCATCAAGAATTATTATTAATGTTGTGTAAACACTTTTAATCAAAAATATAAATTGCTGCAAAATCTTAGACTTAGACCCCCACTTATATGAATATCCAGTTGTTTTTATATGAATAGTTTAAAAACATTTATACAGTGTATTTAATATTTTACATTTAAATACTATATATTTTGATCTATACTATAAATGCAACTCTTAATGATGTTTAAGATTCTTACATATTTGCTTAGTATACCAAACAATAATTTTTTTTTATATGTGTATGTTTTTAGAGTATTTATCAGAACAGAACTTATATAATAAAGAGGCCTCTGGACAACAACACTCACCTGTGTAACCTTTGTCTTCTTAAAAACAAATTCAGTAGGATGATATCTTTTTGTGGCTTGATGTCAGTTTCACAATTGTAAACTAAGCATTGTTGTTTCTACGAAGGCTGTGTTTTTCTATGTAAAACATCCTTCCCTGTTCTTCGTTATGGTCAAACTCTTGCCCCAAAAGCCATCATTTATTAATGTGTGCAAATTGTCAACCTAAAGTTAATGAGAAAAAACTTCTTTTTTTTTTTTCTACATGTTATTATATATTTTTATTGGCCTATTCCTGAGTGTCTTGAATCTCATACAAAAGGCCCATGGGCTAAAATGCTCACATGAGTCATTTGGCCCTGCTGTTTTGCAATAGATTTTTTCCCCCAAAAAAATACACATATTGTTTTAAATAACTCCACCCTAGGTTTACATTTTCTTAATATCTCATATCCTTCATAAAAATTAAGGATAAAATTACTCAGGAATGCTTTGTACCAACTTTGTTGAAAATTGGCTCAGAGGTTCTTCTGAATTAAGTTGAAAATTAGAGATGGAATTGAACTTGAGGAGGGGGCAGTGTTCTTCAGCAAAATATTTTGAAGTGACCTCACTCTACCATTCATACTTTTTTATATAAATCTCCACCTAAAAAGGTTTATCCCTTCATTTGATAAAACTAATTACTAATTAGCCCTAGAACACCTTCACTCAAAGAGATGAAAGCAGACTTTTACATTGTATAATTATTGCAAGCTTCACTTGACCCTCTAACCCTGGTTAGCTAAAAATCATCCAGATAAATCAACATACTAGCGTACTTGAAAACCTGCGTAATAATTCAGTGTCACAGCTGCTGTATTGATGGGGATCGACAAACAACTGCTGAGCCAGCGGTTTTGATTTATACTAATTCATCTCCACAAAAGACAACATCTTTTCATGTTTCTCCTTTATCATCTTACTTTTTTTTTTTTAAATTCATTCAACTTTTGGAAAATGCACTCCATAATTTTTTTTTCCTCTGACAGCAAGTGTCTTACATTTATTTTCAGTGAACTTAATCTATCATACCTAATAACACCTTGTTCAAGGCAATCCCATAATATTGGAAGAGCTTATACATCAATTTTTTTTCCCTTAATTATTCTATGTTTACAACAAATTCATCATTCTTAAATATGTTCCTGCGCAAAGACACAAAACAAGAGAAAACAATCTTAATGTATAGTACCAGTGTAAATATATCCGAGTGAACTTATATCTCCCGCTTGTAAAGGCATTGTTTTTGTAAATTTTGCACATTTTGCAATTTTTAATATAAAACGAGCTTAAACGTTTGATATATGATACATCCATCTTTTTAATATGTTCCTCTTCACAATTTTTGTCCCCCGCTTGAAAAGTGGGGGATATTAATTTGGGTTTGTCCGTCCGTCAACGCTTTCGTTTCCACACGATATCTCGAGAACCCCTTGAACTTTCGCAATGAAATTTTGCATAGCAACTCCCTATGAACTAAAGAAGACCTCTATTGATTTTGAGGTCAAAGGGTCAAAGTTCAAGGTAATAAATTCGCAAATTCTGTCCGTTATAACACATTCGTTTCCACACGATATCTCGAGAACCCTTTGAGCTTTTGCCATGAAATTTTACATAACAACTTCCTATGGCCTAAGGAAGACCCCTCCCTATTGATTTTGAGGTCAAAAGGTCAAAGTTCAAGGTCGTAAATATATACATTCTGTCTGTGTGTAACACTTTCCTCTCCGGGCGATATTTCAAGAAGATTTTGAGCTTTTGCAATTGAATTTTATACCAAAAGTCCCTTAGACCTCTCTCACCCCTCTCAAAGTGTCCCGCCCCGTTTGTTTTAGAAGTATTTATTGTATTACATGTCTATATTTTTAGCACAGGGACATGAGGAGAGTTATTACGCATAAAACAGGTTTTTTAGCGGACTCTATATTCTTATTTCATCTATTAGAACTGTTTAATAAAGGTTAAATTAGACACAATGCATTGTGTAAAATTTTGAAAATATATACATGTATGTGACTTCATCTTTGTATATACTAGTAGCTTAAATAAACAGGTGGGAAGAGAGAGGCTTCGTGGCGTAGTGGTATGTCTCTCGCATTTCGTGCGGGAGATCAGGGTTCAAGTCCAGGACGACGTATTTTCTTTTTTTTTCTGAAAAATTTTTTTTAACTAAATGATAGTATTCAGCATGTGAAATGAAAAATTTGTAAGGTGTGGCTTCTACAAACTCATAAAATCATCATCACAGAGTGATAAATATTCCATATAAAAAAGAATCTTCTATACTCATAATAAAGAATAAGCAATCAAATCTTTATATTCATATTGATATATTTTATTTGCTTCAGTATGTGTACATGTATACATTTAATAATTTTTCAACTTAAGTCAGGGGGATCCGACAACCCCCCTCCCCGAACTGCGCATGGTTTACTTTTTCCCTAAGCGGGGGACACAAATTCTCTGAATTAGCTTGTTTTCTATATCACATGTATCTTTCCAGAAAGTTCTCTCAAGATCAATCCACACATTTAGTTGCAGGCTCCATTTTGTACCCATTATAAAAAAAATATACCCACTGGAATCTATCTATCAAATATATATATATGGGCTTGATTTATAAATGTGCAGAATTTTTTTTAATAATAAGACCATCCCATTCCAGTGTTAGTCAAGAAAAACACTATTGTTTATAGGGGATGACAAATTCCATTGCCCAATGCCTAGGGCTTAGTGAATTTTAGGGGTGGGCAAGTGAAATTTTAACAGGCACTTGCCCATGGGCAAGTGACTTAATTATCAAAAATCAAATCAATATGTAAGCCATAGATTCAAAGCTGGGCATAGGAGCTAATGGAAGATCCTACTCAGTTTTTGTCTTCCACCTTTTTTGAAATATCTATATATACAGTATTAGTTTATAAGTAGGGCAAGTGAATTTTGACCATGTACTTGCTCTTGGACATTAGTGCCTTAAAAATCTATTGTCAGCCCCTGTGTTTGTGTATACATTTATAAGCTGAGGAAACTTCCCTGTTCCTGATACAGCTATGTTTGTAGGTAATAATTAAGATGCACTAAGTACCTGATTAATATTTATTTGTAAACAAGAACGGTGTCACTACAGTACACTTGTTCATGTAATTGTGACGTCCAATCAGATGGGAGCGACACTTCCTAACATATTGTACGTTACAGCACATCGCCTATTACAGGTCTACAGGTCCTGCTGGAATAACCAACTAATAAATAACTGTGCTCTACACAAATATATGATAAAGACTTCTTTTCCAAAAAATTGAGATTAGTCGGGACAAAAATTTTAAGACATAGTAAATAAAATTAAACTTTGAGTCATTGATCTTCCAGATAACTTATCTGAACTCATATAAATGGATACTAGGTCAATTAAAAAATATTGCCATGTAACCTTTTAAACTGTTTGTAAATATAAACCTTTGCTAAAAAATTGATTTATTACGCAAAAAAATATGTTAATTTAATTAAAGTACTGGTTGAGATGTCGGACATATAACGATAAGAAACTGCATTGCAATGATTTTTCTTTATCACACTTTATGCAGGATCAGTTATATCTTCACTGCATTCACTGTTGATCAACAGTTATGGATCTGACCTAGTTTTAAAATCTGCATTCACAGTGAGGGTAAACAAAATTTACATTCCTTGCAAAAAAGATAGCTAGCCATGCAGTGTAAGATTTGTCATTAGAGAAGGTAAAACATATAACAAAATGTTTATTGACTCATGTATTCTCAAAAAAAAATGAATTTTGTTGACCCCTCGAAGCAAATTTTTCGCCTTCAGCCTTAAATAGCCTCAGGCAAAAAAGTTAAGTCTTGGGTCCAACAATTTTAGGCAGTGGTAGCTGCCTTCAAATCCAGAAAAAAAATGTAAAATAAAAAATTAAAGACAATTCTCACCATGCAATATTCATATTGCACTTTAAAATAAGATTTTTTTTCTATATTTTATTTGATTTCATTGATCAACTTTCTCCTGGTTTATTTAATTCTAATAACATAGTTCTTGGAAGAACTGTATTAAAAAAAACTCCAATGAAAATAATCAAATACAGTCAAATCTCATTATCTCATACTCAATGAAACTGAAAAAATGATATCCAAGGATTTGATAAATACTTCTACAAGAACAGACTAGCTCATAGAAGGGACTTCAAATCCATGGTATTTGAGATAACTCTGTAACCCGGTGTTTGAAATAATGTCAGAAGTTTAATGTAGTCCATCCCATTGAGTCTCTTTTAATATTTTCTTCTTTGTACAGCAAAACTCGTTTAGTACAACACGGATATTGGAAATTTACGGATATAGCGAAGTCATCTTGGATCCCCAGATACATAAATTTAATGAATTTCTTATACAGTTATAATGAATTAGGGATATAACGAAGTAATTTCAAGGTCCCAGTGACTTCGTTATAACCAAGTTTTGCTGTATTGCATCCTTTGGGATGCTAATTTTTTTTCAACTTTGTGGGGAAAAAGGAATATTGATGATCACATCTCAATCCTGACCTTTTGTTTATTGGTCTGTTCAATGATATACCTTGCCATAGATCCAGAATAGAACAAATTCTACTTCACCTGCTGTCAAGATGCAACATCAATTTATTAATCTGAAACAACAAACTATATTTACATTGTGGATGCATGCATCAAAATGCAAATTGCAGCACAGCATAAACAGGCATTGAAATGGCTTATTATGCAATTTTTCTATTTATTTAATTAGGCTTCTTGTCGTGAAGACGAGAAAAAAGTAGATCAAAACAAAAAAATGTAAACATTTTTAACTGGTGCAGAAAAGTCAGCTGGTGTTTGGAAACAAAGTGACTGATATAAATATACTCCGGCTTCAGCTTCTGTTTTGAATCAAGTGTTGTAACACGATTTTTTATAACACAGTTATCGCTTTCCTTCATCTTACAAAGTGCTCTAACATACACCAATCAAATCTTCACCACATGGTGTCAGCTTCCAAGATGACTGCTAGCGTCTGACCTTTGTTTTAAAATGAGGTCATGAGAACTTCTGCTAAGAAACCACAAAACAAAAAAGCTTGCTTTTTATCCAAAAAAAATTTAGAGAAACAAACACTTCTTGTCTGGAATTTAAACAAAATAAATAAGAAAAAATTCAA